CCTGCAGTACTGCTAGTAACATAACCAGCTTGTGCTTGGGGCTGAGTTTGAACTAGTTACAAGAGTACAGCTGAAAAGTTGCTGGTGGGCACCAGAGGCTTGGTGAATTCACACAGTGCAAGGCCAAGGTGGATGTGGCACCCAGTGTTAGCCCTCAGTGAGGCTAATGCTCAGCAGTGAAAGACATATCAGAAGTTCAAACCAGTACTTAGGGTCTGTGAACTCACCTTCTGACTGTATTGCTCTCCAGGTCCTTCAGATAGACCAGTACGAACTGCAAGTGAATTAGCTCCTTTCCCTGTTATTAGGTGATATCTATTAGTAGACAGCTCATTTTCTGTTCTGTTCCTGGCGGGGACATTTTGGCCAGAAATGGTTTCCAATCTGGCAAGCACGTTGAAAGTATTACAGGAAGGGAGAGAAGTTAAGATCCATGGAGGAAATATTTTTATTCTCTTTTTCTTGTTGGTTTGAACATAGCCCCTAAGCAGGATATGTCAGCCAGGAACTAAATTGTCTCAAGTTGCCTTTTCATATGTATCAGTCAGTAAAAAGTCCACTTTCTCTTTTCTTATTTTGGTGGGAATTGAGGAAAATCAGCATGGACTGGGATTCCTAGCAGGGCTGTATATCTGCTGGTTCTGACACTAGCCAAAATGTGCTGCTGTGTGTGGGGTGTGTGTGTGCAATAAGCCGTGTCCTTTGTAAATGTCTTGTCCTAGCTCCTAGTATCCAAAGATTAGTTATGAAATGTGTAGTATTTTGTCAAAAACTTTTGCCTTTCAGCAGCTAGTTTGCTATCACAATGCTGGATAGACTTGTTACCAATATGAATGCCCAGTTGCAGCTTTGTGTGTTGTACTTTCTCCCCATAGTTGCTAGCATGAATGCATTGCAGTCTGGCAAAACCGATAAGAGAAGAAAACAGGGAGTGTGAGGAAAAATCAGCATCTAACTCTGTCAGTCATCATCTTCCTTGCTCTGCTGTTCACTTTCGCTGTGCGGAACAAATCATGTATCCTTTCTGTGTCTCTGTTCCTTCCCCATATAATGAGGACAAATACTAATCTGTCACCTAGTGATAGAGAGAAGCTGCCTTCATACTTACAAAGTGCTTTGGTAATCACAGGTATTCTGTCAGTGCTATATGTTGTTATCCTGCCATCTGAATGATCAGTGTTTTCCTGATCTCTGGCTGCCTGGACCTTGGTCTGTGGGGTACGGCTCAGCCAACTTCATGCTATGCCTGTGTGCTGAACATGAGACCCCCAACGAACTGTGGGTCTGTGTCATTGGTACTAGAAGTGACACTTGGATCTGCACTGTTACTTTTTATCCTGGTGCACTTGTAGCCCATGGAGCCGTCATGGCAAGGACGGCGTGTAGCTCCATGGGGAGGAGAGGCTTGGCATCTCAATGCTGACTTGGAGCAACTTAACGCATCCCTCTTTCTCTCCTCATCACTCAGCCTGAGAGACTTTTTCATCACCTGCTCTATGAGGTCCCTGTTTTTTCTTCTCTTTACCTAAGGCTTGTGATGGGATGGTCAACAAACCCATCTCCTCGGGCTCTGTGATCCTACACCTTGGTGTGGAAGGGCTAGTTCAGCTGTAATTAACAATGTACACTTCATTAGCACTTCCACCATGACTTTTCTGAGCAGTCTGTAAATGCCACAGTAGCCCTTTCTTCATTACTTTTTTCCCACTTCACTGTTGAATTAATTCTTTCAGACCTCATCCCAGAGGAGCTACTGCTCACACGCTGATATATAAGAATTTCTTATCCCCCAGTTTTCTCTGGTTTTCATACCAGGAATATTATTTCCCCTCTTGCCCTGTCCTCCCTAGACACTTAACACTTTACATTTCATTTATAGTCCCTGTCTGATATTTTCTCTCTGTATTTGTTGTCTCAGTCTTGTATTTTTGCTTTCCCAGTCTCACTCCTTTATACAGGAAAAGGGAATTTGAAGTCTTTCTGAATAATCCTGTAAGGCAATGCAGAGCACAAGCCCCCAGCATCATCATCTAGGGTGCTGGCTAAAAAAATATTCCCAGAAGCCTTTCATTCTTCTTTTTCTTTTTAAATACATTTTTTGGATCCCTTCCATAGAACATGGTTGCAGTACTGCAGAAGCCACTGGTTGTGTTTGTGTTGAGAAGCCCAGGACTCTTCCCTGCAGCCAGCTGTGCAGAGACAAGGGAAATACTTTATTTTCTTTCTCCTAAGAGCCTTCCACAAGCTGATCTTCATAAGAGCCGCAGGGACTGGGGTCCTGCACAGGTAGGAAAGCTGTCACATACATATACACACTTAACCAGGGTCACAGGAGGAAATCAAAATCAGAATTGGGGCTAGGATTTTTGCACTGGTGCCTCCAGGCATATTCCTGTAACGTCTTTGACAAGTCTTCTGGTGCTCCTGCCACAGTGCATGCACACCACCTACTCTCTACCACACGCAATGGAAATTGCTACGAGGCATGGACAGCTAACAAACTGAGGGATAGGACTGCAGCATTTCTTTGGGAGAAGCATGGATTTGTTATGATACATGGTACATGTTATATATAGTACATGACACACAGGATGTATTTTGTGAAATATCCCTTTTAGTTGACTAAAAAAATAAGTTACTTTTATTCAGGATTCCTGCTTGAAAGCTTTCTGTTTGCAGGCAGCCAAACAGCATGAAAGTTAATTGCTCTAATGTCTGCAAGCCATTTGCCCTTGCACCCTCTTGTTGATATGAAGTGTAGTGGCTTTGCACAGAGTGGGAAATATGTATGGGTCATTTTTGGGACTCACTTGTCAGGGTGTGTGTAAATCCATCTCAATAGGTTTTCCTGGACTTTGCCTCTCTGGAAACATTACCACAGTGCAGCAGCAAACCCAGACTAGCTCTGCACTCATATGCAGGCAGTTTGTTACACTCCCTCCCTGACACTGGCTTGCCTCTCTTCTCTGCTGCATAGGGTCTGTTGGGGGTGTCTCATGTGCTGCAGTGCCATGGCTGAACAAGCATTCCTCCTTGTTCCAGGAGAGACGTGGGACCTGGGCAGGCTTGTTTAAGGTCATCTTGGATATTTCTGATCAATTCTGCAGTGTGTTGCTCTGACCTATCTGTGTGCCAGTGGTCCCAAGCTGCTTGTTTGTAGGCAATAAGCTGGGATGCTGCTGCTCGCTGTATATTGTCTTTTGAATCTTATTGCAGAGGGGTGTCTGGACCCTGGGAGAGACACTGCTTTGGTTTTTGAGCCATTCAAAGCGTAGATTCTCTGATCACATGGCAGATGGATTAATACATTTTAATCATAAATGAAACAAGGCACAAAAACTGAGATGTGATGCAGAACATGAACACCCAGCATGTCTGGACTGGATGTTTGGTTTTCACAGCTTAAGCCAGTATCTGCAGAGCATAAAGGGTTAGTTATTCTAGCAGTAGCATGATTAGGTGCTATGAGCACTAATGATCAAAAAAGCTCAGTTTTAGCTTACGTGAGAGTTGTATCCAATGTTTTCATGCCTGTTAACTTTACAGACAGCAGGTTTCCTACAGGAGCTGGAGATTCAGGCAACTACAGGAAAACTTACTGCGAATGCACGTAGTGTCTGACTAGAGCTGTGGTCTGTGGTGGGAAGTTAGACAAGGTGAGACTGTAAAAGGCCAGTAATTGTACACTAGAGATGGCTGTGATTGCTTTGAATGTGTAGACATTGTCAGGAACACAGAGGAAAAAGCATAGCCTATTTGAACGCTCTTGTCTCAGACTTGTAGCTAAGTTAAGTCAGGAAATGATTGAGGGGTGCTCTTGTTGTCTGTGCATTTTCACCTCTGGGATTTGTAGAAACTTGGGATTTTGTGCTGCCTTTGGCATAGCTTTGCTACCCTTTGCCAAGTTTCATTAATCAGCAGCCGGGGTTACCTGGAGGGTAGGATGTCTACCTGATGGGAATTCAAGGACCAAAAGGAGAGGTTTCAACAACTTTGTTTAAAGGCATTTCAAGGTTGGTTTTTTTTCATATATATATCTTATATTTGGCTCCTGAAAAATAGCTGCCATCTTTTAGCTATTATCAGTGGCATTAGAGCTTCACGTAGTAACAGCATGCTGGGATCCATGAGAGAGTGTCAGACTGGCTTGCTGCTACATGAAAAATGTCAAATCTTGCAGCATCTCAGCTCTTGATTTTTGTCTGGTTTTTAGCACTTTGGAATTTGGTGCCATCATCTTATCAAAGAGAAAAATGTCTCAAATTAGAGCTTGCTTTAAACAGATGCTTTACAGTCTCAAATAAGTACAATTTGTAGGCATAACTCAGAGAGAATTTAAAATGTTGAGGGTAGCTACATTCAGCAATTGCTGGGATCCAGCTAAACAGATGAATTTTTATGCCAGCTTCCCAGCACCCCTTGAGCAGAACTTTTCCTTCCGAGGTATTCTTCTCAATTTGCTCTTTTCCCTGAGACTCTGTTTTGTCTTCTGTGCTGAACAGCACTGCTATCCCCTTGTCTCTTGTCTCCCAGGCATTGCTGTTCCCAGTTGTGTGACGGTGTTGAACTTCATACATTGCTGTGTGTGTACAAAAAGCCTTAATTACGGCATGTTAAGTGAAGCAGTATGTGGAGCGTGGGCTAAACTCTGGGATATTTTTAGCCTTTGTTGGCCTTGTCATGGCCCTTACTGTATTTCTCTGGGAAACAGTTGCTGAGTAGCATCATTTAGCTTGTCCCACATAACTCTGAGCTGGAAGGCTGGAGTTTCCTGCCAGGCTTGAGACTTCTGGGACGGCTGTTTTCCCACTGGGAATGTGCCCATTTTAGCATTTAAGACCTCATGCCTTATTAATTTTGATGAGTTTGGGGTGGAAAGGCAATCTCAGGAGTAGATGTTAAGTGTTGTATTTGGGGGGGATAAACCCCAAAGTTCATGAGTTTAAACTATGACTAGGTTATGTGTGGCAAACATCTGTATCCCTTTGCTCCTTTTGCAGAGCAATTGGAGACACATTGCATCACTGCTGCCAAGGGTGCCTTGTGCACAGATATTCCTATGAACAGGGACAGAAAGTGTTGCTGCCACTGGCAAATGAAGGTCCTATGGATGGGTGGAGGACAGAGAGCCAAATCACTGCCTCCACAGAGAAGCAGTCCCCTTAGTCCTGCAGTGGGTGACTGCTGGCTGGACTGTCAGCACAGTGGAGAGGTGCATTCAGCTTGGCCACTAGTGAGGTTATATGGAGAGAAGGTGAGGGTCCTGGCTGGTGCTGTGGGAGAGAGTTTGTGATGGGGAGGATGTCAGTAAGTTTGGAAGAGGGGTGTTGGAAGGCCAGAGTGGGAGTACAGGGGACATAAGGGAACAGGGATTACAGGGGTGGCTGCATAGGGAGGGACACTCACCTTGGATCCCATGGCAGCATTAGCAGCTTGCTTGAAATGCTGGGGTCCAAAATGAGGGCTGATGAACCTGGGGCTGAAGCTGTCAGCCCTGCCCTGTCTGCCAGGGCCCCTGTTTCACAGTAGAATAGGCAGAGGGGCAGATAAGCTTGTGCTGCCTCCAGCTCCTGTGCAAAACCCATCTTTTAGCTCAGACCAGTGAGGATGATGGGCATGAACTGAAGTCTCTGAGTGTAAACTGCTGCATTTAAGCGCAGACACATGTTCTACTCAGTCTGTTACTGAAAGCAGTGGTGACCTCTGGCAAATGGCTGAGGCCTTAAACTGGTGTAACATGAATAGCTAGAGTTCATCTGGTTTTGGATTTACAGTATTCACCTTTGCAATCTTCTCTTTCCTACCCTGAGCACTAAAAGCATTTTTTTTTCTTTTTGGTGTAATGAGAATGTCATGTAACAACATGGCTCCGGGAACTGCAGCCTTATGAAGAATAGAAAGTTAGGAAAGACTGTATAAAATTACCATGTTCTGTTATATTACTTAAAAATTACAAAATACTGGACTTCAGAGACAGAGAGAAGCGCTTTTATTAGCTGAGAAAACATGTATGAAATTTGAGTTTAACATGCAACAGCACAAAAGTGGGTAGCAGCGTTGGGAGCAGCACTGACTTCTTCCATGTCTTAACATAGAGAGAGGAAAAAGAGGGGCTGAAGTTTTTGTACGAGGAATTCTTCCTCTGCTGGGCAAAGTATTACATTAAGAATTAGAGTAATTTATTTTCTGCAGTCATAATACTTGCTTAAAAGAAGACCTTTACATATTTTAGTTTTAAATTAATTGTTCACTTTTAGAACTCCTAAGAGTCTGAGGAGTGAATCTAAGCATGAGTTTTTAGAAGAAAACACTTCTGATCCCAAACTGAACCAAGAGTCAGATTAATCACAGTCTTCTGTGCAATAGGAGGCATTTAAGAATCCATCAAGTTCATGGGAAAGTGATCTTGGAAGAGCAACAAATAAATACTGTGACCTTTTGACTCTGCTAACCCTGGAGCTGTGGTAAGTTTGCAGTCAGGCACTTGGTGCCAGACAGGAATTTTCATTGCTGCAGTGAAGTAAATCACCATGAGGAGGAGGCCTCGCTGGGCCTGTCTGCATGGAGAGATTTTCAGAGCTCTTATTCCCTGCGGGTAACCGCTCCATCGGTGACAGTGTAAATGGGAGCTGAGCGATAGATCTGCTCAGGAAGCCTGAAACAACAGCATCTTAAACCACGTTATCTAACACAGTACCAGAAATGCCAACGTTATCACTGTTGCGGTCTGCAGTGGTGGTTCTGGCAGAATCCCAGCAGTGTGGGATAGATTTGTCCCCAAGGCAGATTTAGTGAGGGGACAGAGAGTGCTGTAGTGCTCTGCAATAGCACCATCTTAACGTGGCACACGTAGGATGTGAGGCTCGCCATTCTCATCCACATCTCTTCAGCAGTTCCAAGAAGCTGAATTAATGGTGGGAAGAAAACCAGCTTTTGGAAAAATCATTGTTTTTCATGATTATTAATTTAACGGTCCTTAGAAACAGATGCTTTTTAAACGTTATGTTGGGGATGGCAGTTTCTCTGCAATTACATTGGCTGATCTGGCTTTTTGCCTTTGCTTTCTGTACCCCAGGCAGAGCTGTGTCTGCCCTGATTTGCAGTCTTATGTGTAATGTTTTAATTACAGTTAAGCTGCAGACACTGAACCAAGTATCATATTGCCACACTGGTTTTCAGACCTTGTAAGATTAGGCCTGGAAAGATTTGATTTGTCTTACAGAGCCTGAAAACTGAAAAAGTGACTCGAGGTTCATTTTGTTTTTATTTATGTATTTTATGGGAATGGAGGGTAAATCTTTTATTGTTCAGATTTTCAATCTTCTCTCAGTCTTTAGTTCAAATGAATACTGGAAGAAGTTAAGCCTGGTTTCCTGCAAATTTGTGTCTTGTGGTTGGTTGAGGACCCTGATGAATGTAGTTAAGTCTCATATATAAGGCTATTTCCAATGTGGTTTAGTTTAATAAGTCATGAGTTCACATTTTAGCCTTTTCCCGGAGTTGCTAGATCTATGTCCTCTCCAGAGCTTCTGTTCGTGAAGTCTGTAAGAACTTTATTATCCTGGAAACCTCCACTTTTTTCTGGTATGCATTAAAAGTAGTTCCTGAGTTCCTGAGTTATTAGGAAGAAGAGGTGATCAGACTGCACACTGGTACTCATATCCCAAGGAACCAGAACAGAACTGATTTTTGTGCAGCTACTGGTACTAGCACTTTAAAGAGATGACCAGCCAGCGCAAGACTTGGGATAAAATTGGGAGTTGAAAATCATGTATTCTCCTGATCGGTCATCATGCACAAGGGAATAAGAGGCCTGATTACCACTGAGACTGCTTGGGGAGACAATACAACTAGCCTGGATATTGTTCTGTTCTGCTTGATTGCTGCCTTCTCCATGTGAGCTCAGTGTGGCATGGCCAGGATGTCACGTGAGGAGAATAAGAGGAGTTTGTGCACTGTGCAGTTATTATCAGGTTGTCCATGGAGAATACGGCTAATACAGCTCTTCTCAGCATTGTAGCTCCTGTGGGGTGTGTATGTGTGTGTTCTGCACCAACAGGCTTCTTGCAGTTGCTCAGTGATACATGAGCAGGAGTCTATAGGGGATGCCCTGCCTTTGTCTTTGCAGTCTGTGTGGGCACTGTCCCTACCCTCAGTAAAAGACTAGGCATGTCAAACATGCTGAGATCCATTAAAATGAGTCCTTTCCCTCTAATGCTGGCAAAATCAGTGCTGCTAAAAGGGGAGTCTTGCCATCATTATGCCTAAAAGGCTGTTACAGAGCAGTGCATGGGACTGCTGTGGAGCAGTAGAAACCTCTCGAATTAAATCACAGGCTTTGCTGTTAGCTGTAGAAACCTCCTCTCCTTCCTCAGCATACGTGCTCAGTGTGAACCTGTGAAATGTCCAAGAAACAACAGCTATAAACTCACTTTGAAATACTTTCTTTCCCCCTTTTCACTCTCTCCCATCTGCTCTTTTCTTGTGTTTCTGCTCCTTTGGTGACAATAAAGACCCCCCATATTCATTCTGTGGATTCCCTCCATCTCAGGCAGCCAGGAAAAAATACAAATGGCATTTGATGTAAATCAGAGTAAGATTCAGCTGTGTTTCATACCCCCCACCTTTTCATGCTCTAGGCATTAGTATAATGAAGCAGAAAGCAGTGATTCTTATTTAATTTACATTCGTTAAGGCAGATGCCTTTGGTATGTGTGAGACAGGAAAAGACTGGTCAGTGTGGCAATGTGTGAATGACTAAGTCTGGACTGAAAGCTGATCTTTCATTTATTTAGGCAAAGACAGGAATGTGCCCCCTGACTTCCTTCTCGCCTTCATCTGCTATACCCTCCCTTGTTGCCTCTTTGTGAGCAGTGATTCATGGGCTCGCCTAGAACATAGCAGCTGCAGAGCATCCTGGTTCCAGAAATGGTGACGACAACTGTGATGCTGTTCCACCACCAGCTGAGAGATGCTCCCATAACTGGACAGAGCAATCACTCAATGACAGGAGTGATGTCTTAGCTGAGAGCTGTGCCAGGGACTTTCTTGTGCTATACAAAAAAAGCCAAAGTAGGAGAGCTGGGTTGGCTTGACCTGTCCCTGTGCAAGGGTGAGTAGAGTAGTAGTCTCTCACTGTGCCCTATACCTCCTGACTCACTCCAGCATGACAGAGCAAGGGGAAGAAACAAGCTTGGTTCTGCCCCTTATTTTCCCTTTAGGATGGCTGCACGCAGCCTGGCGTTTCATGTTTCTTGCAGTGAAGTGGATACAGCTTTTCTCTGGCAGGACCGAAGGAACTAGAACTGCCTGTGACACAATTTGTTCCCTAGGTCCTGCTCACTGGTGCCAGCCTTTACTCCCAGCAGATGATGTCTTACAATCAAGATGTAAGTGATTGCACTATTAGGATTTTTTTTTTCCAAGTCAAAAATGGCTCTCCAATAATGTAAAATTTTTCATCCCTGATCATACTGTGATGGGCATGTGGTAGTTCTGCTCCCCCAGCAAATCATCCTTCCTGATAGACAAAGGTTCAGTGGTTCATTTATTTGCCCTGTTTTTCTCTTTTAAAAACTCCTTAAATTTCCATTACTGGGAAAACATTTAACTGCCTTAAGACCGCACCATGGGTTTGAGTCTGATTTGAGGGCAGACAACTTTATTAGTGGCAGGGAGTTCCTTTTCAGATAAATCCTCCTTTGCAGAGAACATCTTTCCTAAAGAGTTTCACAGATCATTATGGACACAAATAACTCATCAGAAAAAGTTAGTGATACTCAGTGCTTGGCAAGCGCTGAGTTATTATCCAGTTAATGCTGCGGCACTGTGCGTTTCCAGCTGTGTTGCAGTGGCACGCAGACCTCAGCAGCTGTTGCAGAGCTCATCAAATAGCTGTTGAGCATCATCTTTGATTTGTCATAAACCTAAAGGTTCCTCTGGGGAAGAATGTTATCACCTGCCACAGCCCGGTTACACTACAGCGATGCTCCAGCACTGTCGTTATCATAGGGATGCTGCTTGTTTGAATTCCTCTCTTCTCCCCTTTGCGTTTATTTTATTTCCTTTTTTTGGGAGGGTTGTGCTCAGATTATTCATAGCCTTATACTTCTGACTAACTGACTTGTCTGAAAGTGCGGGTGGCTGTACACTTTAGGGCTACCTGGCCTCATTTCTTGCTAACCAGACAAATTCACAAGTAAAAAAATATTT